TTTGAAAGTAACTTGAACAAAATTTCCTGTTGTCTGTCATTGCAATCGTTACTGTTGTGTACAGGAACGGTGACCTGAAACAGGAGACAAAAAGTGGAAGAAAATACTTTCCAAATAAGAACGGAGCACATCCATTCCTTATTATAAAAATATCGAGATGTTGATATCTAAGCAGGTTCTTCCCAGCAGGATCCAGAAACATTCCCACCGAGTCAATGAATCCTTTTCAAGACTTGCTACCTTGTGATCTCTTGCCCGCCAGGTCTTAAATCATGCTTGCACTGGGGGCAGGTCCCTGGTTTGCTTTTTAATGAAGCATTTCTGAAAGGAAGAATTTTGTTTGAATGTTCCCGTTGCCTAGAGCCATCAGTATGGTACCTGCTGAAGGGAATGCTCTTGCTATGTGTGTAATGATGTCATCATTACACTCTGTGTGAAGATTTCATGAAAAAGTGATTGCCTTGTGCTTGCTTGGAAGTGTGGATGTTCTTCCAAAGGTGAAAAGTGCCGCTAGGTTCTCTAAAGCAGTCAGTTTAGTTTATCCGGTGGCAGAAAGGAGAAATATATGACTCGCAATTGAACTGTTGTAATGACCGTCTCCTGTGTTTGTAGCAAAGTTTAGCAGATTGCTCAGTGAGACATTTACACAGAGAGGTGGCAAAAATCTCCAACGCAATGCATCATCATTTTCCAAACAGTTACAATGTTTCCTAAGCCCCGTCCATTTCCTAGACTGTTCACAATAGAAGAGCCAGCAAATAGCAATGAAAATCACTCTGTTGGATGTCTTCCAATTTCGTAAATAGATGTGTGAGTAACAAATGTTCTCATAATTTTTCTCCCTACTGCTGTAAGGCAGTTATCTTAATTGATATGGCCCCATGACAAATTTTCTTATAAAGTGCTTAGTTTGGAGATTGTTTAACGTAGATGGTGTCAAGAACACAAGTACTTTCCGCAGCAAAAGTGACATGTGTATTAACAATCAAGTCAGATGTGGGATTGTGGAATTAGTTTTCTTTTCAGATGGGTTTGTCTGGCCATATCTTGTGGGCTTGTTTGTGTGGTTAAGTAATTCCTTTTGCCAGGTTGAAAGAGTCAACCCAGTTTTTCTCAGCTGCTTCCGGGAAAACGCTCTCTGAATATTCAGCAACCCTGAGCGTAATCTGGTTGCCATGATGGTTATTGCATCAATCTGTCAGTGTAGCAGGCCCTCATAGCATTTGGGTGAACGCCAAGATTCAAGAAGGTAATAGCAAGATGTTATCAGCGAATGCAGGGGGGGGTATCAATCTGCTGGTTGCAGAGGGGGGCATCCATCCGCTGGTTGCAGAATGTATCAGGAGGATACAGTGTGGGGCACAAGAGACCACATAGTTACATGCATTTTTTCAGAGCTCCTGCTAGGCAGCCATCTTTGTTCTTGCCCAGATATTGAGGCTATGGGCCCTTTTGTTTCACCAGGATCTAGATCTTGATTAATGATCCTAATACTGAGTTGCACCATATACTATTTGGGTTTTGGTGCCCATAAACCAACAGCGGCTCACTGATTGTGAAACAAACACGGCCTAATTAAACTCATTAGGCTGGTAGCTACTGCATGTTGGAATGCTCCATGTAAAAGTGAGGATACTCTGTTATATCACTGGGTCTTTGAAAATTTTGACAAAGTACAATCCCATACAACTTTGAACTAACGATGTGAGGGTGGAATGATGACCTGAGAGCAACTTTGAAAGTTAACCAATTGTCTGATTGTGAGCTCAGTTTCAGAAAGTGCTTCAGTTTGAGCATGACGCAATTTTATTTTGGTTTGGTTTGGTTTGGTTTCCTTTTACTTCTACTTCTAGTTCTCTAGTTCTAGTTCTCTAATTCTCTAATAATTGAGGATTCCAGATAAGAAGCAAATGTTTGTACAAGATCTGTAACCTGTTTCTAATTATTTAAATAATGGGCTATTATGTATTACAAGATCAGAAACAGAATAAGTTATCTGTGTGTGCATCAATAATCCTGTTTCATATAAAGTAAATAAATTTCTATGATAATAACTACAAGGGAACGAGTAAACCCCTCAAATAAGAAGAAAGAAAGTAACAGAATAACAAATGATGACAAAAAGGAAGTGGCCAGATAATAGTAATGGTAAATTTTCAACAGTGTGTGGAATGATGAAAGTGACAATAAGTTATTTATCAGAATAATGTGACAACAGCAACATTTTAAGATACTTTTTGACAAGTTCCAGTGACCTAAAACCAGGCATTGGGGACAGTAGATAAATAAAGAGATGTTTCTGCTTTGTGGAGTTGTAGATTTGAGGCTGATCTTGTGTTATAAAAAGGAACATCTGAGTTTTTGTTAAATAATGAGTAAATATTTAGGGAAAGACTTTCGTTTCAAATTTACTCATCAGTGCTCTGAGGTGTTATTCATATAAATCAAAAACTGACAAGGTTTGCAGAATGGGATCTCGAGGGATCTCGAGTTATTAATTACTCTTAATGTTTTCTTAGGCATGATATACAATTTATTGATATAGGAGGGGTAAGTGTTACCCCATCTATACTGAAGGTGTGGCAGGGACAAGGGAGTATAGATTAAGAATAGATCATTTTTTAGTTTTCTTAAAATGCATTTTTTCTGAGAAAGTGATATGAGGAATTTTGGCAATGTTGCTCCCAAGAAAGTTTTTTTTTCAATAATTACTCCTAAAAATTAACAGGTATCAACTTGTCCTATTGTGTATTGTTCAAATATACAGTGTTGCTCCTAGTAACTTTACAATTAGAAAACAACATACATTTGGTTTTATTTAAGTTAATGGGTAATTTATTACATTTAAGCCACTCAGAGATTTTGCATAGTTGCCGATTAATAGTGTGAATTGCCTCAGGTAAGTTTTTACTGCTGTGGAACACATCAGTGTCATCCGCAGAGTATATTCAACAAGTTACAGATGTATTTTATGTAAATCAGAAAAAGTATACGACCAAGTATTGAACCTTGAGGGACGCTACATCTGATTGGTGCAAATGTTTATAAAGAGTTGGTGTTATGCCATACTACATACTGTTTCCTATCACTTAAGTAATTTTTGAACCATTCTAGAGCAAATCTTCTAATTCCATATCGATTTAGTTTACTAATCAGAATATGATGATCTATTGTGTCAAAAGCCTTTGACAGATTCAAAAATAACCCAATCGTATGAAAAGAGTTGTCGAGTGATGAACTTATTTTACCAATCAGTGCAAGAGTGCAGACTTTTCTTGCTTGAACGTACCTGTTCTTGGGCATAATCAGAACTTGCACGAGGAGATTAGAAACCAGCATTAGAAAAATTAATGGAGTGTTAAGAACACTGTTGGTATCTGCCTTGGTGCAGTAAGCAAGATGTATGCCTGCAGTAGATGACATATGAAGTACATGTACCATAGATGCATCTCTTGGTGTCTGGTGTTGGAGCCTACCTACATGTAGGACACGGGACTCGATGTTGTCAGTTTAATATTAGGCCTTGCCCATCAATTGTAAATGTGTGTGAAGGCCCAAGACTTTGTTCATGCAGGCCGATGTGGTGGGCATTCTGTCTGAGAAAAACAAAGGGGGGATCAGAGACTTTTTGCTGTCTGGTGAGACAGTTTTGGTTTTTAAAGTTACCTCTTTGTCTAGATCAGTATTTTAAAAATCAGATCAATGGTTTTGTAGTGGGGTGTTTGTAGCATTATTACATGAAAGTGCATTCACCCACCAAAGTGAGAGACAATCATTTCATGTCCTCTGTTCTAATCCTCTCCTGTCCCCAAGTAAAAAAGAGGACAGTAAATGATTCCAATTTTATGGCCGGAGAATCGTCTCTTTTTCAGCATCTCCCCCCCTGGCTCTCAATTGTAAACTAATTTATCAAGAGAAAGATGGTTTTGGAAAGGGCTCTGTTGGCATTATATTGCAGCCTGTACGTGTACTTCCTTCATGAAAGTCAAAGGTTGACCTTTCACACAGGCCATTATGTACTTTGAGTTGATTGCTTCACTTTTCGGAATGGAAAAGTGCATCTACATGTAAATGTCACATCATGGCAGTCATGCAAACAGTCTTTGTGCGTCGTGTGCCCCACCCCACCCCCCTATAATTTCAAAAGACGTATTATTCTTCATGCAATTTATAGCCCACTGATGCTGAATTTTTAATGCTGCCAATTGACGTGCACTCACCGTAGCTTTTCGGAACCCCCCACCCAAATTGCACTTTTATGAAGTGGCTGCACTCAGATCAGCTTCACTTGTTTTGCACAAAAGCCTCACCTGGCAACAGCTTGCCTGATGCGTCACTGTCTACGTATATTGTGAAGTATATTGTGAAGTCGGGGCATGTAATTAATGAACCTAATCTCTCCCTCTAATTTGCATCTCCTCCGATGTATTAATTACGGGGTGTTATCTTCCCCAGAGTGCCTTGCTGCCAACCTCCCCCCCCCATCACCATCGCCACTGCCCCTGCCCAGCCAACCCTTTTGGTCAGAGGGGTCGGTGTTATGACAGTTTTTGTTGCACGTCCAGGGCTGTTTGTGTGTTTGCAGGGTGCCTAGGTCAATATTTGACAAGATTGTGTTGCCGTTATTAATTCGTAGGCCGTGTCAGTGCGGCAGTGACAAACAGCCCAACAGATCGTGCTCATCCACGATTCCTTCCTGATTTGGTATGCTTTCTCTCACTGTCATTTTCTTTGATGTGGCATTTCGCCGATTTTCCCCTGTAAAATAAACAGCATTTTCAAGAGAAAAGTAGAAGGAGTTGCCTTATGGAATTAAGCTGGAGGTCATGAAATCAAGTAGTCTACTATATTGCTTTTAATGGAAAACACAATGTATAAAAAAGAAGCATGCTTTTGGCAAAAACAATACTAAGCATTCCCAAATGCAAAAATTAAAAATACAAAATACTCTTTCCCTCTGAACCACCACAAAACAAAACAGTCTAACATGGAAACAAAAATATCAGACTACACATGAATCCAAATTTATTTTTCTCAATTCTTAAAATGGAAACATGCATTTTGATATTGTATTCTGAAGTACCTACATTGGCATGAATAATCCATTGGTATTACACTATTCTGTGTATACAACTATATGCACAGCTGCTTTACAGTCATTCAAATAGAAAAAATAAAATTGATGTTTTTGAGAATGCTTGTGTTATTTCAGTGTTAATCACAAAGGAAATGCATTGGTTGAAGTATGCAGGTGCTGTCCCCTCCATTCCAGTTTGCCCCTTACTCACTGTATTTGCACTATATTTGCATAATTTTGACATCTGAAATTTAGTTCACCCCAAAATATGTCTTTACCCCTGACTCCCCTCCCAAGCCCATCCTCTCTGGCTTTGTGCATTATTCTCATGATGAAAGAAGAGTTGAGGTGAAATAGTGCCCTGTGCACGAGTCCTCACCCATCCCGCAATATTCTACTGGCCTGCGCTGTTGGCATCAGTGCCAACATACACGTAAAATATTGAATATTACAAGGTCAGTGCTAATCTCCATGATAGTCATTTGTGGCAAGATTTTGGATAAACAATTTGAACGAATGGGATTAGGGATCCAAAGTAATTCTTTTGGGGTGTTTTAGAAAGAGAAAGGTTGGGGTTTTATTGCAAACCTTGCATTCCAAATCACATGTATAGGAGAGACCTTTTTATTTTTTTACACAAACTGATAGATACAGAATAGCTAAGTAGGGATTTTGTTGCTGTTGGAAAACACAGCCTTCACAACAGCTGCAAGAGATTCCAATTTTGGAATGGGCCATTTAATTTTTGCTGAGGAAATTGAGTCTTTTGTTAAAGTTATATTCATACAGGGTATAATCAGTTCTAGGCATTTTTATTGTGTTTATTAAATCAGACTTTCTGCATGATTTGCAAAATATGTATTTATCTGGTTAGGTTGATAAACATATAGTTGATATGCACATACTATTTACTGCTTCAATATATATCAATTTTTAGGTGGTCAGTTTTTTTTAAGTGATGATCACATAGAATATAATAGTTTATAAACATTCCTATTCTGTCCTTGTTCACACTTTGAGCATGATTATGTATAAAGTAATTTTATATACATCATCTAGTGAGGTTGGTGTGTGCCACGTACTATTTCAATGTCCGTGTATTTTTGCTGTTTTGAGTATTGCACCATTTTTGGCTCGACTTTACCCGATTCACTTTGAAATGAAGCGCTCATTTGCCTGATAGTTTCACCTTTTTGTTGATGTACACCACAGCCTCAGATGCCGTTCATTTGAAAGGAGGTACAGATCTTTCTCTCTACTGACTCACAACAAATCACAAAATACTGATAATCTGTCTCAATGGCTTTTGGTGAGCATCTGTCCTTGTAGAGTAGGCTGAGTGGACGGCCATTTGCTCAAACTATTGTTAGACTCCTCTGAATGTTTTACAGGGATGGCAAACATCTCCTGGGAGGGTGTGCGGCAGCTGAGACGTCGTAACATCTTCTTGGTTGCAGCCTCCAACTCAAAAAGGTGCTCATCTTCATCCTCAGGAATCAGCCGCCGGACGGTCTCTGCTAGTCGGAAGAGGTACTCCAGGTTGTGGCCACTCAGACCTCTGGAGCACAGGATCTCACTGGCTATGGTGGCCATGGGCGCTGGCCCCATGTAGTTCAGGCAGCCCGGCGTTGCAGTGAAGACCACCACCTCATGCTCTGAACCCTTCCTGGGGTGGAAGGTGGTGCTGTGGATGGTGTATCCACCCAGTTGGCACTCCCTGGTGTTCAAGTGGCTTAGCGCATCCAGAATCTGTGCTTCACCCTTGAGTAGGAAGGCCATTCCCCACGTCACACCCTGTGAATAACGAACAAAACAGAACTTTGATGTAAGTCATAAACATATTAACTACTTGGATATCAACTGCTGGATTTTTGGAAAAGTCCATGTCAAGTCAGTCACAGGTCAAGTCAAAAGTTAAGCCACAAGCAAAAAGGAATGAACAGTGGTAAAGGAATGCTTTGATTACAGTTAATTTAAATAGCTTGCAACTTGGCTTGAGACGGTAACTTGTACAGAAGCATAGAAGGGCCACAACCTGTAATTTTTTTTTCAAAATTAGTGTCTTGTCATAGCAAGATAGTAACTCACTGTGGCAAGTACTTTACTCGTGGTGGTGAGTAGTACCTCATCGTGGTTGATGTCAGTGAGTCACTGGTTCACCATTTTCGATTTATGTTTAACTTGTCACAGAGAGATAGTAGCTCTCTATGGTAAGATACCAGTTTTAATCAGTTGTGATCCTCCTATATGCCTCCTCAGACTTGTGATATATTTGTGATAACTTGGCCTTAACACTGGAAGCCTTATGTGTTTAAAAAGTAGATGAAAGATGAAACAAAAATTATTTACATGGTCAAAGATAAAATGGCCGATGAAGGAGTCCGTCCTAAGCAAATTTGACATTATTGTGAAAGTGTTCTGAGGACCGACGTGTACACAGTGTACTTAGAAATTACTTGGTTTTTTATTCATTCTTGTACGTAGTTTTAACTGCATTCTCGTGCATTTAATTTAAATTTATATTTTAATTGTCATTTATTTGAAAGCATGATTAGCGGAGAAGGAAAAAACAACATTATTTGAAAGTTGTGAACACTGTTGGGGAGAGAATTTGAAGACATCTATGTTAAATATGAATGTGGCTTAATTAGAACTGCAGGATTGATCCAAATGTATTACTAAATCCAAGAAATGTGGTAATAAATTTGTAAAAGGACCGCATTTCAGTGATGAAAATAAGTTAATTGTACATTTCTTGTTAGTTTGGAAGATAAAAACAGCAAAATATCTTTTGACCAATTCAAATGTTGAATGCTGTACTGAAAGGATGAAGTTTATTTTTTATGTCCTTATTGCGAACAATGCATAGGATTATATTTTATTTTTGCTTTTCAGTGCAAATAAAAATGGAATGAAAATATGACATTTTGTCTTGTATAAATAAACTAACATGTACATGAAATGCAGGCGTTCTTTGTTTTATTTTTATCAAACTCAAATGTAACAGCATAAGTTAGAAAGGCCCCAAACACACAGCATGTTTGATATATCAGAATGGAATATTGCTGTTTTTATTTTGCATGTTGCGCGTGGCACATTTGGTACAAAATTGCCGAAGTCACCCAGTCGCTGATCGGCGGCATAGAGTCTGGGGCTGGTATGAAAAATAGCAACATAAAAATACTTCACAAACGTTCCACATAATGGAACTGAAGCACACAAACGATGTACATTTTATTCTACCAGCCATCGTTACATTGGTGAAAGTACTGGCGAATGTATAACTTCATCCTTCTGTGATCGACTCACACGTCGTGTTACGGTGAAATTTAGCAAGTCACATAGTACATGTACTATGTCTGCCGCCATTGCGTTGTGGACGTTTTTCAGAAGACCAGCAATTTTTGAACGGTGAAATGCCGGAGATTCTTGAGTGGATTATCGTAACCGAGAGGGAAGTAATATTTGGCATTATTTATATGTTTTTGGAACGTAAACACGCGGTAATCAACCGGAGGAAATTGTATTTTTTGTGTGGGTAAGTATTGAAATCTAAGAAAACTTTGGTCCCGGTTTGGTTCCATGTCATCCAACAATAAACAGCACCGAAATAAGTGCTTTCCCCTCCCAATAAGATTATTGTTTGGGAGTTGTTTGTTTGTTTGGTGTTGTATTGTTCTTTGTTGTTGTTTTTTCGGAGGAAAACAGAATGCAAAGTGAACTTAAAGCTCGAACGGTCTACATGTGAGCTTATGCCTTTTCTACAGGCTGGAAATTATTAAACGGACATTTACATATATACACCCCGTTCCACCTCTAATCTATCGATCGACCTTTACGATATGGGCGATTGGATCAATAACCACACCACATTTCCCAACACCTCCCTATAGCCAGGCCTTGGGCCAGTGCACGTCTGTATAGCTTTGTCCACCCAACTCTCGCCCAGTTCCCACGGTCTACCACTTATTAGCAATCTACTAGCTGGCCTAGGTTTCAGTTCCACATAGGCGGGATGTGTTGCGCAAAGGTTTGCTAAGTTTGCATGTCGAATGTGTGCGGTTAAATAATATTACGCATTATGCATGAACTTTGCTAAACGTTGAATGATAAGTGTTAATAATCCATGTTGTCATACAAGTCATGGAATTCGCATTTGAATTTTAAAAATAAAAACAAACAATTTTGCTCTTTTTTCTTTTCCTTTTTTAGAAAAAAAAAAACAATCGTAACAATTTTCCTTACTCAGCTACATGTATTTGAAACTAATGTCTTGTATTGCTTTCACTTGGTTCAGTTACCTTACTAATTACATTCTGTCTGAATAAGCCATAGAATTGAAAAGAACTTAAACTTTACTTTTAAAAACTGTCGACATTTCAGTCAGGATAAATTCTGGAACCCAACCGCACTGCCAATAATCAGTTGAAAGCGAGTATCACACAGCATATACGTCACGTCAGTTCCGCAGCTGCGAAGTGCGTCACATCATGTGACCGACACGTTTACGTCATCCTTGTCAACAACTCCACGTGCTCAGTGCGATGCTTGGAAAGCCGGTTTGGGTGGTGTGTGGGTGTAACAGTGTCAAGCGGTCAGGTTGTAGTATTTGGGGATTCATTCATAACAAAAAAATCTGTCTGGGTGCGTGGGCAAAACAACCCCAGGCGTGTTTGGGTCAACCGAAGGGATAAACACAAACATACCGTGTCACATTTGTGGAATGCCACAGAAGATGGAGACCTTTGCGATAGCCTGAATCAACCTCTACTTAAAATATTATTTTGATCTGGCACGCTAAAAGGGAAGTGGCTTACGAAGTCTGACTCACTACGGAAATTACATCGTCATTATTTTTATGAACTGCATTAATTTTTGTAGAGCTACGTCAGTCATGTAGAGCTATGTTTGTCATAGAGTTTTTAAAAATTTGCGTGAAGTAATTATTCTTTACCTGAAACCATTTTCAGGAATGATTTATTTTTCGAATGTTTTCTTAAATACTGACACAGAGTCAAACCTTATCACCAAGAAGTGCACCACAGACACCAACCCTTGCAAACTACAATAAACAAAAATGTAAACAAAAAACATACAAACAAAACTCCTTGACATGCAAAGAGGGTCACTGTCGTGATGAAAATAAGGTATTGGCAATGCGAAGAAGGAAGAATGTTTCCGTTTGACTGATGGCATTCAGTTGAATAACCTCGTTGAGTATTTCTTGTTACACTTGTTTTTGTTTTTGTTTTTTTTTTTGTTTGTTTGTTTGTTTGTGTTTTGTTTTTTGCAACGGCGTCGCATAAGTTTCCACAGTTAGGCCTACACTGATTTATTTGCAGGGCGGAATTCACAGAAAATGAAAGCCGAGGCCCCATTTCTGCGATGTGTGACTCCCAAAATAACTATCAGTGACAATGAAACTTGTTTGAAACTGGAAAACAAAACAAAAAAAGAAAAAGAAAGAAATTAGTGGCAAAGACTTACCTCGTCTTGTTTGACTAGAGTAGCTACTCTTCCAGGCTGCAACATACAACAAAACGGCAAGAGATTTATTGTCATCCTTTTTTATCCAAAGAAATGTCGGTGCGAAATATTGGTATTCTTCATGATCGATATTTCAGCCATAATTGCAGTGAAAATATAAGAAAGAAACTTCAAACAAGTAAAACTAATATAGATGATGTAGCATTTACCTTTCCCGGCACGCCTCGATGCGTTGTGTTGCCCTGCCAGAAACGCCGAACGTAGCCCTTGACGTGACCGATTTCCAGTGTTGAATACTCGAAATTTGGCTTCCAAAGAAGCGACCCGTAGCCGAAAACCCAAAGACATGTCGTGTCTGTATAATTTTCGGGTAATAAATGGTAATTTGGCGCCATTTTGAGAGAGGAATTCGACAAGACCTGCGGTGTCTAGAATAGGAAACCTACGAGATTGTGATCCGTATGGAGATTTTCCTTCGTTGTGTTTTCCACCCACGGGTCATGTGGCGAGTGCACCGATGACGAAAGGAACGTCATGAGCTGCGTTGGACCAATCAACAGTGCTTATTCGGGACAGCGCCTCCAGCATCATGAATATTGATGCTGCACGAGCGTTGATATGTTCAGTAGCTTGCATGTACATGAACAATGATGCAATCGCGGCCGAAGTTGCACGACCTTGATGAATGATTGTGGATATTTCTTAACGAGTGTGAATGTTTAATTTGCGTCATGACAAATAGTATGCGGCAGCAGTCTCGTTGATTACATTGAAATTGGGCATAGTGAAGGTCCCAAAGTTACATTTGAAAACATGTTCACGACAAGCAAAGTTGAACGTTAGATAGGGTTTATACTATGATACCTTGCAAAAATCTTGCATGCAAAATGGTATAAAGTTTTAACCAATTTATTCGTCCTTTGTTGAAAAGGAAATGCTACTTGCTGGACACAAATGCATTTTAAGTTATCCGTGTAAAAGTGTTGAGGTTTTTTCAAAACCTGTATACTAATCTTAAAAGGGCATTGTTGAAGATCAAACAGGGACAAACATATTTCGGTATGGCTAGATTTTGCATTTTAACAACAGTGCATTGAACCCCCCTTCCCCGACATGCACAGTTTTGTGACCTTGCTGCCGTCTTCTGATCAGTGTCCTGCAGGTCTCGGTAACGTAAGTCCTTTCCGGAGTTTCTATAAAGTCGCTTTTGAAACAACAGCAGAAATGATATGAGGATTTGACGGTTGTTATCGATCAGCGTTAGGGCCATTCGACGAATTTGGCTGGGGGAAACCATTCGCAATACGTAAATGCCACAAGGTACCTTGGATTTAATTGACAAGTTTGACATTTTCCCTTTACCGAGTTAAACAGTTGTGGTGGTTAAAGTGTCACCACCACGAACTGACTCGGGCGTGCACGAGGTTGTGCGCATTCAAGAGAACCGAGTTATTTTCGTTTTCATGAACTGATACCCTCTAAAGTGATACTGATATCGATCTTTATTCCACTAGTTAAAACGAATATTAAATCAATGTTTTTGGTAAGGCAGCAAGTAGATGAGTGGATTAAATTCATGTCAAACCATTCAAAACACTTTTCTCTGTGCTGAATTGCCTTAAGCTGGGGGGGGGTTCGGGGTCAGTTCGTGAAAATAAAAGTCAGTCCGATTGTTTGGCTTCAGTGTCCGATGTGCACGTCCACTGCCGGGTGCTAGTTGGTGAAACGGAAATGGTTGATAACGCGGTTTTCACGAATTGACGCCCACTTGCAACTGAGTGTGGTGTCGGTGACGATAAGTTTGATTTAGACTAGAGTTAACCTGGCAAAGGGCAGAAATACCGGGTTGGAAATGTTTGCGATTTAGGTACGATGCGTTCTTGAAACGTTTTTGAGACGGGCTCACCAGCCAACTCTCACACATTAGAGGGGTGTATTAGAGCATGTACAGGGGATGGTACTTAATACACACTTGCGTATAAAAGGACGGAGGCCCAAGGTACCGTTATAGGCCTACTTCAATGTGCAAAGCGCTAATTTTGATTTATATGAATTACCATAAAATTCATGTACTTTCTTTTGATTTAATATTTACCAGAACCCGCTTTTATACGTCGAAAAGAGCACAGTATCTTTTAGCACAATTTTTTTTTTATCTTACCAGTACCGCTACAATCGGTCTAATAAACCAAAAGAGAACGCGTACATACTATAAGAGATATGCGCACATACTATAGGAGATATGCGTACATACTATAAAGGGAGAGGCGGGTTTGGCACGTTTAAACATGGAAACGGAGTCCAGAAAGTCGGTATTTTGTCCGATTCTACTTTATGGACTGCCTCGTGCATATTAGTTGGGTCCAAACATCAGGCATTGATCCATGGTGGTTCGAGTTCCCAACAAACTCATTGGAGAAAATGGTGCATGACCAGTGTGNCACGCGCACCAGATGTTTGCCGAACTGGACAATCGCGCTGTTTAGCCGAGCTGTTTGAGCTATACTGGTTTGAGCTGCCCTGGTGAAGTAGTCCTAGGTCAGTTGTGTCCATGATTGGAATGGAGCGATTCGTTTAAGCACTCTTCACGTGTTAAATGCAAAAAGAGGGAACAGCTGGTAGCCAAACTTGTTCAAGTTTTCAGTTTGTTTGGGTTTATAGTCCACTTGAAATATCGAATTGCAGAGCTGTGTAACGTCTGTGACTGAATCCGCCCTGAGCACATGCACTCCCTCATCGGTTGAAAAGAGGCATATGGGTCGGCAGTGTTCATTTAGTTATACTAGCGATACGACTGCAACGCCTGCGTTTCTTTATACAGTCGTTCGTGAATTAGTGATGCGTAGTTACTACCAAAGGAATCTCCATTGTTGGGAAAATTGCGCCCTCTCTTGGTCCAGCTCGGAGCCCCACAGGCTAGCAACAGAAAAACACCATTAATCAAGACACTCTTTGCTGCTAGCTTGCATAATAATGTCAACCATGTTCGATTAAGCTCAAAATATAAGATCTTATTAGAGTATAGTTTATATCCAGTAAGTACAGTACAGCAGTTATCCGCAAAACTAAGTTAGCTAACCGTTTACGTATTACAACGTCTACACACCCGCGTTGGTAATTGAGCATACCAAAAGCTGAAAAACCACTAATAGCAGTCGAAGTTGCAACCACGTGATTATGATATTCACTTGTTTCAGAACACCCTATGGCTGTTTAGCATATTGATCATTATTATCGTAAACATATTTACTGTTGCATAGCTGTGCTGTATTGTCGCCTTCATTTTGAATTCTGCTTTTGTTCATTGGTCCTTTTGCTAACAGTAGGCCTACTTGCTACCAAACCGAGCCTTCTTTTCGTTAGCGTGACTATTTAATCAGATTCCAAATCAGACAAACTGCTCTGGAAAATATGAGATGATTTTCTTTCAACATTTGGACAAGTAACCCAAAGATCAAATAAATTGGTTAATGCGAGTATCATCATTGTTATATGCATTGGTCATTCTGTAGCAATGTCGTATTAAGAGAACTTAGACGTCAAAATAATCATTTTCTATCACATTAGGCTATTTGCATTTATACCTCGACCGTTTTGTTATAATTACGCTTGTCACTCATATATTTCTGTTAAAAGTTGGCCAGAATATCAATCGTAATTTTTTAACCTGATATTTACATGGTAATTACAAACAATCGTAGGATGTTATAGCTCAATAAACCCGTATTTAATAAATATGCATTAGGAGAAATTGGTACCTCGATATGAAAAACACTTCTGGCCTATTCCATAGAAGCTAACTGGCCTTGGTTGGGGATTACATGTATATCAGATATTGGAATATCGAACGGTACAACTAATTACCTTATGAACCGTATTCCCGGGCTTGAATGGTGCAGCTTGGTGTTTGTCTCACTGGGCCACGTGTTGTTCAATTTGTTTGCGCACACTCTAATTATGCTCTTCCAAAAATCGTGTGTAGCCAACATTAAATTATCGTTACTTTGAGTCACCTACTTGAACGGAAGGAAAGAGAAATAACTCAGACAATCTGACAGAGGCAACGGTATTTGAAGTGGAATTTTTTGTTTTGTGGAAGGTATACAGTTACGGAGTTTGAGAAAATTGTTGGATTTTTTTTTTTGGTCAAAGGAAGTAAACAAAGTGTATTTTCGCAGGCAGCATGTACTTTTTGGTTTGTGTGAACGGTTATCAAGTTATAGTTTTATTTGCTTTGCGAGATGCTATTATCCATCTGCCCAGTCTCTTATGTCGCAAGGCAGGCCTGGGATTCTCGACATTTTAATTTCTCCTCAGTTGATCATCGAGTTGCCCCACGTTGGCTTTTACACACACTCGGTTTTAGAGGAGAAGAGGTGGCGCTTTTTACAACAACTCTGCGTAATTTATTCGTTTCTTTTGCACTCCATGTCCACTGCAGTTCTGTCCAACTCTACGTCACTTTCGCTATAAGCATGTTTCATTGCCGCTATGCAGTCTTCTCGTGCATTGGTGATTACATTCCATGTTGTAGCGAACTGGTTGTACAGTGTATAGTCCCTATTGGGTGTTTGGGGAAATTAAAAATTGCATCAACCGCTTGTTCCTATGTTGCTGAGCACCTGTGTCGAAATATCTCTCTAATTATAAAAGAAATCTCACGTGACCCATATGCACGTTTTTGCAGTCAGTAGTTGAGAAGAGAATTTGATTCTTTTTGCGTTTAATGGTTGATTTTCTGTTCCTATTAGGCCTATAGTTAACGGTATTTGAATTTTTAATGAGTTATAGCCCGATGTTGCTTTTATTTTTTATCAAAGATTACATTCAACCGCAAATTCAACACGTGACCCCCAACCGAAGGTCGGGAGCAGACTGCCAGCCGGCCGACCGAATGTACGGCAGCAATAGTGTCTCGTTCACCCTTTGTGTTTAATCTTCATTAAAAGCAGGAGAGATTGTGCAAGTAGAGACAGTCTGCTGGCGTGCAGACAGAGAGTCAAGGACCATCCAGGCAGCCAAGACTGGGTCAGTCACGTTCACTTTGGGGCTGCAGTTCAGGTATGATTCCTCTCCCTCAGGTTCAACTGACTACAATGGACCTTGCAGACCGTCAGTCTGTGGTCGTAACAATAATGTAGAGGAGATATTGCCAAATGAAACGGTCTTTTACAAAAAATAACTTGGCAATGGGAATTTGAGACGTATTTTGGAGAAATAAATCTTATTTTATCTGATGGTTTAGTTTTAATGAAATGGTACACATGTTTTAATTATGACATTTAACTTTCTTGTGAAATTTTTCATGTATCGCTCTCCCTGTGAATTCGATTTCGCAAATCTCAAAATATGGCAGTACTTGTGAGAGTATAAAAAAATCGATCCTTTTTCGAATCATTATTGAGATTTAAACTTGCTATGTATTATTCACCATGCGCACTGCAGTCGATTCACGTGATCGCCGAGGTTTGGTAATTTGCATATTATTGACT